GAAGACTTCAGCAAAACAAAATCCCAAAACGAAACCTTGGATGTGTTTGCAATTCTGCCATTCCTTTCGTTTCCATTCAGGTTCTGAGCGAGCACCTGGACACGATTGTGCGGGCGCAGGTTCCCAGGGAGACCATCGACCAGGTCGCGGGCTTCCATTCGAGACTGCGAACATTGGAGAAATCACGGTGAGAGTCTGTGAGAGCTGCAGGTCATATATGACGACGAAGCCAAGCAGGCAGGGACATGCACGAAGGGTGGTGCCCCTTCTTTCGGGTTGGATTACGTTTAGTACTCCGGTTTTCAGTCTGGGCTTAGGGCTTTCTGGCAGCTTGGCTTGGGATGCCATGAGGGAGACTGAGTGGGGGTCGGGAACATGCAGCGTGGAGTCACACACGCTGATTGATTCGCGGCAGCTTGATGCAAGCAAACCAGTGTGACGGCAGGCATTGATGGATCTGGATATCAACCCGCTGGATCACGCATCCTCGCTCAATCAGCTTCAGCACGAAGGGCAAGGGTAGGCACAGAAATCACAGCCATGGCACTGACTGTATTCTTTACCTTGAATTACTTCATGGTGCCAGAAGCAAGGGTCGATTGTCGGATATCTTTGACCCGGACAACGGCGGCACCATTGGGGTGATGGACATTGCTGCTGGCATCCGCAGGCACGCACTGGGTCTGGTGGGGTGGCAGCGGACAGACTCACCTATTGTACCACATGCGAGTAACAGGGGCATGCCCTTTGCGCATCGAACTGCAAGGTGTGTGCATGCAAGCCTGTTCTGCTTGTCCAATCGAGTGCTGTGCAGTAGCGCGGGCTTCCTGCAGCGCAAGGGTACCTCCTGGAAAGCTTGTTAATTGTTCTAAGTGAGCAACTTCAACAAGAAGAGCATGCTCAAGCTGCTGCCTCGTGTCCAGTGGCCCTTCGGAATCCACCAGCGAACATGCGCAGCATTGCAAAGCATTTAAAAGCTTGATGGTTCCATTCTACATTATGTGTTGAGGGGAGCACAGCCTGGCCTTGTCGCCAGCTGTGCTTTCCCTTCAGTATCGGAACTGGCAAGGCCTCATCTGCCAGCTGCGTATGGGACATCCTGTGGAAAGTCGCCCTCACCAATGCAAGACCATGGCGGCTTATTCATGAGAATACCCCAGAAGCAAAAGCGAGGACAAATCTGCATGTCCTGAAAATGTGCTCATGGTACCTGTCGCTCTTCCTCGTGGAGTATTTGAAGTCGTCTAGCTGCCCCCGGCCCCGTTGGCCCCTTTCGCCTTGGAATTCTTGGAAGCCTTCAGGGGAGCCGCACGAAGACCCCAAAAAGGTGTCGTTTAAAACGGGCCGAGATTGACCACAGAGACCAGACACAAACGGTCCGTCTGGCGCCTGAAAAACATGGAAGTGTCAACCTGGAACGTGGGTGAGGTCGACACGGAGGCTCAGTGCTAATCCCTGTTGCAGTATATTGACTCCACGATGTTCCCGATTGACGCCATTGTTTGTTCCAAATGGACCTTTTTTCTGCTCGTGGGTCATGCCAAAACCTCAGGTTCGGTGGATCCTGCATCTTTCGATCTCAGAGAAGAGACTGCGTGTGGCATGCATTCTCCAGAACAGGGTGCTTCAGCCTCGTCGTACTGTATCGGGCCATCGCCACTTCAAAATCGAAAATGCTCGTTGCCCGCCACCCGGTCCTGCGGTCTCGGCGACTTTGTTTTCCAGGTCGCCTGCCTTTGTCGGAGCTTTGCAAACCAACCCACCATGCCACAGCATTCCGGTGCATCTGTATTTCTGAGGCATGAAAGGAATAAGGGGCAGCATGCTGCAGGCAGCAAGCGAAGTCCGAAAGACAAGACATGACAAGACTCCCAGACAGCCACACAAACGAAATCTAACGAAAGCCTGGCAGAGAGACTTTGTCCGCATCTTTGGGCTCACCATGGCATCGAGTCTTAGTGCCTGCACTGCGTAGACCAGACCCTGTCCGTAGTGGATCATGGACCCGTCTTTTCCCTTTTTCTCCTTATCGCAGTCAGTGTGTCAGAGGGCTTCGGTTTTCTACCAGCAACGAATGCGGCAAAAGCCAGGCTCCGTGGAGAAGCTCGGAGAAGCCACTCAGCTGTTTTCGTCACCTTAGTCGATTGCAAGCTGATACGAAACAGATGTAAAAGAAGTGAAGCAGGAGCCCATAGAACCCAACAGGTTGAGAGTATGCGAGAACAGTTTTTAACCGGCCTTGTGCGAGTATGCCTCTGGGCGTAAAATGAGAGTTTCGTGGGAAAGGGCAGTAGTTTGGACAGTGCGGTTGCTGTCACATGAGGCGACATTGTTTGTGTCGACCTGATGCCCGGACCCTGGAGGGATATGGGTGCGCGACGAAGTCCCAAGCTACGTAGTCACATTGGTAAGCAGTTGTACCTGCGCTCAATGGCACATGGATTTCTGCGATGACTCCTAGGGAGTGGCCGGAAGAAAGGAAATCACACCAATCCAAGAAAGATGTTCCACAAAGGTTGCGGCATGTGCAGTCGATTCTCGTGGACATGTGTGACGCAACTTAGCCGAATCTGGCGAAGCTTCAGGGACTATATTTTCTGGCATTCTCAAGCAGATCTGGCAGACAGCGTGCCTGCTGTCATACCGGTTAGCGTGAACTTTGCGTGAACTTTGGATGACCTACACATTCAGCTAGGTCACCGAAGTGCCGCCTTTCACAGCCCACCGTCAATCGAGGCGATCGCTCGTGTGGAGATGGCCGTTTTACCTTCGCAGAAAGAGCCAACATGATGATTCAGCGCGACGCACCCCTGTCTCATCTGCAGCAATAGGAAGAGGTGTTCAATGAAATGCGCAGGAATCCATAGGATGAATTCCCATCGTAGTTTTGGGGCCACTTCCATGGGATCAGCTCCTGATGCGTGGCTTGTTGCCGCTTGAGTAGCAAGCCAAGCAAGCCTCTTGGCCGACAAGCGTCGATATGCATAACTCCGTTGTCACAATATAAACAAATTGACAGTTTCGTGAAAGATTCATAAAGATGCAGATGGGGCAGGACTAGCTGACAATAGAGCCTGCTCTCCACGCTGCTGGAACTGTTGGATGCGAGGCAAAGTACCAAGTCGGTTGGCAGTCTGTTGCAGCGGTGCAGAGAGCGTGGCCGCACGCCCAAAGTGCTTTGGGGTGAGCTGAAGACTGAAGGCGCCATTAGGTGTGGAAGACCATGAAAGACAGCAGATCTATGTTGAACAGGGTCTCAGCTGTGTTCAGGGTGAGACTTGACATGGCTTCTGACTTCTGGCGGTGAACGCATAGTACATTTCAAAGTACATTGTGCAGACTCGTGCAGCTTTTGGACATCCACATCGGTTTAGGTGCCACTTCGTGCGGCCGGCTGCTGCTTATCAAGCATGTAGATGCGTGTGTGAAAAATTCCTGTTCTTTGGCGGGCTGAGACTTGCAACTAGTTACATGTGAGGGTTGATAAAAGGTCTGTGTCTTTGGTTTTGTCTCAAAACGGTTGTAAGATGCATATAGAGCAATGTGTCGCGAAAGTCCCGCGATGGGTCGGCGATAGTTATGACGTAAAAGACTTGGCATATCAGATTACTACTACTACTACTACTACTACTACTACTACTACTACTACTACTACTACTACTACTACTACTACTACTACTACTACTACTACTACTAGTACTACTACTACTACTACTACTACTTCTACTACTACTACTACTACTACTACTACTACTACTACTACTACTACTACTACTACTACTACTACTACTACTACTACTACTACTACTACTACTACTACTACTACTACTACTACTACTACTACTACTACTACTACTACTACTACTACTACTACTACTACTACTCCTACTCCTACTCCTACTCCGGCTCCTACTCCTGCTGCTACTGCTAGTGCTAGTGCTCCTGCTCCTGCTCCTGCTCCTGCTGCCGCTGCCGCTGCTGCTGCTGCTGCTGCTGCTGCTGCTGCTGCTGCTGCTGCCGCCGCTGCCGCTGCTGCCGCTGCCGCTGCCGCTGCTACTGCTACTGCTACTGCTACCACCACCGCCCCCGCCACCGCCGCCGCCACCACCACCACCACTACTACCATTCCTCCTACTACTGCTACTACGACTACTACGACTACTATTGCTACTACGACTACGACGACGACTACTACTGCTGCTGCTGCTGCTGCTGCTGCTACTACTACTACTACTACTACTACTACTACTACTACTACTACTACTACTACTACTACTACTACTACTACTACTACTACTACTACTACTACTACTACTACTGCTACTGCTACTGCTACTGCTGCTGCTACTGCTGCTACTACTACTACTTACTACTACTACTACTACTGCTACTACTACCACCACCACCCCACCACCACCACCACACCACCCCACCACCACCCCCCACCCCCACCCCCACCCCCACCCCCACCCCCACCCCCACCCCCACCACCCCCACCGCCGCCGCCGCCGCCACCACCACCACCACCACCACCACCACCACTTACTACTACTTACGATGCAACAACAACGCGCTACTTGTACAACGAGCGCTACAAGCACTACTTCTAAGACTACCTCTAATACTACTAGTACCACTAGTACTACAGTACGACAAGTACTCACAAGTGCTACTAGTACGTGGTTCAAAGTAGAAGTGTGCCACCGAAACATTTCAGAAGGTGGCTGTGGGTTATGGTTTCAGCCGAAAATTGTTAGATGCAACGGGGAGGGGGCGCTAGCACATATTTAATGACATATAGGTATGCACATGCATGCGTATACATGCTTGGCAAGTTGGCTGGATAACGAGTACGTTCCTCTGGCTGGACACTCGCCTCCGAATGGAAGCGAAAGATCCATCCGCGGAGAAAAAGCAGAGCGAAACCACTCTTCGCTTTGTAAAGTTTGATTCATAGGTGCGACCCCAATCGTTAAAGTGACCCGTACAAAGCGGCGCAGGTGACATACGTTCTAGCGGATCACCCCGTCTGGGCAACACGGCTGCAAAGGGCACGGACATCAGGGCGTGAAGAGGCAAGCCCCGAATGTCTGCTGGGAGCTCGTAATGTCACATGTGCCTGAGGTCAGCACGGCTACATCATCGGAAAAAACCCACGAGGCTCGAACACCCCAACTGGTGGTAGGTCACCGAGATGCTTAACAGCATGTGCAATGCCGCAAGGGCGCTCGTATGCAAGGGCACTCGCATGAAAACAGACAGGCTCGCCGCCTCTTTCTCTACAAAGGCACCAAGAGCAGAGCCGGGAACTTTCTAAAGGAAGGCATATGCAAATTTGCACGTGAGTCATGGCCATGTGCTGCAACATGATTTTCTTGTCTGCTGTACCTTGAAACAGTCATGCACTAGGTGTGTGTTGTCTGAGCTTCTCGGTGACAGACTGGCGGCCTCTGTAGACACGCAAAATATTCTACCTAGGCCTGGACCGTGGGCACTCGCCTTGGAGATGGCCTCCTTCGAAGCGAAGGCGAAATTTTGACAGTTTTGGTTTTGATGATACTTTAGTCCGCAGGCTCTTACAGCTTGCTTTGGCACCATCTCTCCAAGCTTTGCTTTACAGGTGGCATGGGCGGTGTTGTTGCACGCCGTGTCGTTGTGGGTGACGGCGATGACCCCTCCGAGGCAAAAGCCAAAAAACTCAACAGATAGGGTTGTACGCTGCCGGTGCAGGATTGAGATTAGATGAGTTTGTCTGATTCGATATGTGGAACCATATGGAAGCCAGTGAAGCAGTGGTGGCTCAGATTTGGCTGTGGCAGGTGTGTGTGCTGCCCGCTCTCCGGGGCTGGGAGGCATGGGAGAATTTCATGAGGGTACCCTTATGGCGGGAGGCTTGCATGAGTCAATATGCGCGGCGACAGGTCGCAACAGGCATGGTAGGGCCCTCAGTGTTCAGATTTGCTCTTGCGGCAGCTTGCAACAATCTGATCTTCCAGCTGACGGCTTTTGTATGGAATCGGCTTTCGGCCAGCAAAGTCTTGTTGTAGTTGCGTTGAAGTTGTTTTTCGTAGGACATCGTAGGACCAAATCTCGCAGCGCCATGTTTTTCCTGCTGCTTTTAACATTGCTGCTGGCATCGCCAGTGCTGTGGCTGAGCTGCAATGGACACAGCATGGTCCAGCATACTTTGGCTTCGGGGGCCGGAGCAAAAGGCACATCAACAATGATGGGGATCATGAAAAAAGGGCAATTCTTGTTGAGCACAGCGGACGTTGCAACCTTCGCAGCTGCAGGTACCTCATCTTGAATTCTCTAGTTCCCAGGCCAAGCATCTGCTTTTGCTTTGCCGCAGCTTCACTCTAAGTCGCGGACTTCTCGGCTTACCTACCTCTGCGCCAGTGCGTCAGGCTTCTTGGGCCACAGAATCTGAAAGAGCGTTATGGAGCGAGCTGGTCGCTCGTGACCGGCCACCCTGGCAGCAACAGAGCTTGACAGACCCTGAACTACTTCTAGCTGCATCCCAACCATTGTTGGTACCTAAGGTGGCTCTTCAGGAATTGGCAAGGAGCCAGCAGCTGCGACACCTGGCAACCTGTACGTGCTAGCATCGAAAGGGGATACTGCTGCAGGGGGTTAAAATTGAGAGAATTCATTCAGATCACGCAGAGCAGGAGCTGGCGCGGAAGTTGCTGTCCCAAGGGCTCAACGTGGTCATCATTGCCCGCGCTGCTCTTAAGCGTGTTGCTGCGCTTTTTTCAGGGCAATTGTGGGGCCATCGTGGCCTCGGAATTCCTGAATGGGACATCTTCTGAAGATACGAGGTGATGAGCCAGTCTTTGAGGAGACATTGAAGGCCATCCAAAAGTCGACATGGCTGAGCCCGAAGCACCACCATGTTGGTGAAACTTGAGATCATTAAGATCAGCATAGAATTTGCATCTCCTGAGGAACTGAAGAAGCAGTTCCCCAAGCAGCAGATCCGAAGTGTCAAGGCTGTTTGCGGTGATACTCTTTGTGCTTTGGCTTTGTCACCGTTCCTTGGGGCAAAGTCCAGGCGAACTTGTCGGACAGCTCTGGATCCTGGATGGCAGACGTTAAGGAGGCAACCAAGGAGCCTTGCACCAGAGCCATTGAGAGCTCTTCAAAGAAGAAAGACCAACAGCATGTCTTCAAGTTCGGTTTTTCCGCTTCGTTTTAGGGAGGCTGAAGCTAAACAGTATGTGGACTGGAAGACTGGAAGAGAACTAGAAAAGCTCGCAACGTACATGAAGCAAAACCTGGCGTTTCTCCACAGCCTTCACCAATGCAGGACATCGATGTCCAGGTGGTTTTCAACAATGCCGGCTTCATTGTCACAGGCTTGTCACCCGTGGCAGCCCGTGGCAGGTAACATGCTGCCGGGTCTCATGCACGGATGCTACCAGGCTTCTTTGAGCAGCACTCTGTGGAGACGCACCTCGCCAACTTCCATTGCAATCTAACAGCAAACATCCACCTCACCCATTACTTGTACAGCAAACTGATCAGCAAGGCCCTGCCACTTCGATTTGCGTCCGTTGCTGTTCGGCTTGCGTGTGGCGGGTGCACAACTCGCCCCTGCAGGGACTGAAAGGCTGCATCGTCTACACATCGTCCTCCGCTGGCTTTATTCCAAACCCGTTTGCCGCAATGCATTCCGGATGCACATGGCATGTATTTGTTTGTGGCTGCGTGGCTGTGTCCCGTCCGGCCAATGCGAATGAGCAGTTTGAGACATGTGACCCGAGGTACGGCTGCACCAAATCAGGGCTATCAGCCCCGTGGCGCAAGTAGCCCAGCAGATCACTCTCAAAAAGCTTCACTTTGCCACGGCACTCCTGGACTTAAAAGGCCACGTGAGTGTTCGACTTCTACCATGTGCTACCACAAGCATCCGAATCTGTTGGTGTGCCTTCCAAGGAGCTTGCTGCAAGCCTTGCCGTCGAGGGTAAGGCACGAGGGGTAGACGTGCACGCCGTGCACCCGAGCCCAGCCACTCGACTTGAGAGGCAGTGACAGGCAGTGTGGCCACTACTCACAACATCCAGCCTCTTGATCCACAGCCCTTACCTATCACATCGACTCCCAGGTGAATTCCCGGTTCACGGCTGGTGGTGGCAACGACGTCAAAGTTCACAAGATGAATATGCGACTCCTCTCTCTTATTCAGATGGCTGTCCATGTGAATCGACCACTTGGTGAATGCATTGCATTTCCTGGAGACTGTCTACAAAGAAGTGCGACGTTCACTGATCTTTTTTGCAGTTGTAGCCTCACCCTGGCTAGTGAATTGGGCAGGAAGGTTGTCAAGGAAGAAGGCACCGAGCAACCGAAAAACGGGCACTTCGAGTCGAGGTTTGACATGGCCTACAAGATGGCAACCGGCCCAGAGGAGCCGCAAGAGGGCTCGCGCGCTGCCTCAACCATCTCAGATCATCTCAGCCTAGAGTTTGCGCGTTTCTTCCAGTCCTGAAAGGAGCTTCCGAACCAGATCTTCGCTGCTGTTGGCCGGTCACCAGCAACTTGGTACATGGTACATAGTTGTGGGAAGCCAACCGTTCACGCACACCCAGGATTTCCTTGTCTGCCTGATGCAAGTGTGACAGCCGAAATGAGATACCGCCCCCCCTTCTCTCCCACCCCCTCCACTCGACCAGTGTGGCGACGGATGAGGGGTTAGGACTGTGGGCAGGACCAGTGGCAGTCATAGGTGTAGTAGATGCTGTCGTGGTCTTACTAAGAGTAATAGTATAGTTGGGAGCTGTATGAGTAGTAGCAGTAGTACTTTGAGTAGCAGAGTCGTAGGAGTCGTCGTTGCTGTACTGTCAGCCGGTCAACTTAAGTTGCGGTACGGCTGAGTTTGGAATGCTCAGGTGATGATCGATCTTGGCGGCACCTCCGTCGGCATGCGGCAGCTCGGTACATTTTGTGCAGCTTCTGGTGGCGCGCAAGAACTGAACCTGCGGGGATGTGAGGGACCTGGATGACATCTGCCAGCAGGGGTTTTGCGTCGTTTTGCGTCGTAGACTCCACTGTGGCCTTCTGGCCCAAAACGGCACTTAATTCGGCCGCGCTGCCCTGCAAGCAATGGCCTCCGGGACAGTAAGGTATTTGGAGGACCTCAGGGCAGCTGCGACGGTGATGTATTTTACATTTGATGATCGAATCCAAGCACATGCAATGACATCATGTGTTGTCCGGAAGTGCAAGCCCGGAGGATATCGGCGTTTGGCCTTCTCCCTCAAAGGGCATGTCCTCACCATACTCGCCACCAGCTGCGCCAGCGGCCACCCCGGCACAGCCACCAGCTGCCAGCCCGGTCGAAGAGCGCCTTCGGCTGAAGTGCAGGTTTTGTATGTTGTGTGGGGTCAGGAATGTTTTGGATCCTTGGCCAGAGTTTGCATCTACAGTGCCCTTGGAGAAGGGTGCCGGGTTTGAAGGGCGATGTTACACTCCCACTAGAGTGTAGTAAGCAGTCATTGGGGTCACCAGGCTCTCACCAGAACAGCTGGCCAAGCTCTCCAAGGCAGCTGTTTCACTCTTGTTACAAAGTTTGCTTTGCTCAGTCACAAACTAGGAAAGTCATTAGTTATCATTAGTTCGCGTCTAGCCTCGCCGGAAACTCACCCGACCGATTTCCGTTTCAGTTGAGCTGGGACAGAGATGGAAGTCATGGAAATGCGAAATCTATCCGGTTGTGAGGAGGAGCGCAAGGCCTATCACGAGGCACGACGAGCCCAAGCCAAGAGTCAGGCAAAAGCTGAGCCCAAGAAGCAGCTGACAAAGGCTGGGACACGAGAGGCTTAAGATTGCAACTGACCTCTGCCAGGGATGCCGCTCAAAAAGAGTGTCAGGGCTTGGGATGTGAGGGAGGGTGGGGGGGGGGAGTATCTTTATGCATCTTTCAAGGAACTCAGCACATTCCTGCGAGGCTGAGCGGCGCCAGATCCAAGAGGAGCAGCGGAAGGCCACGCGGCATGAGCTTTTTTGCCCTTTCAAGTAACATGTTTGCACCATCGGTATGGGCGCGAAAAGTTGTTCGTCGATTCGAGATACCCTGAAGAAGAGTTTCCGATAGTCTTGACTTGAGATTCTGGCGTCCATCCATGATGTCTGCCAATGTCTGCTGTGCGAGGTCAAAGAAGCATCCAAAGAGGGTGGCAAGGAGGAGCCTGGGATCATTTGATGCTAGGTAGTCCTTTAATCGGGTGTAAGGGCCCATCTCCATTCTGGCTTCAGGACGACAAGCTCCTGGCGGACCTCAAGCTGCAAGGCTTGTCTGAGGATCAGGCCCCTAGTCTCACCATGGTGCCCTTGCAAGAGAAGACTCAAGAACTTTCTTGCCATGGCCGACCTAGCCTGCCAGGCACATGCCGTGATGCTGGAGATGAGGAAAAACATCGAGTTGGATGACGATGAGTTTGACGAAGACGGCGTCGAGGATTTCCCAACTTCTGTCCGTCGATGGATGGGCGAGCAGCCAGACACCCTCGGAGAGGACACCTGTTGAAGCCAGCTGTTGCTCAGACCTGGCATCATGCCGTATGCGCTGCATGACATTGCATGCTGACGTTGCTTTGCGATCCAGGACCCTATGCGAGACTTTAACATGCAGGCCAGGTGGACACGACGAAAACTGCAGTTCGGCTTCTGCAGTGCTGACAGATGCCAGCTTCAAGATCACATAAACCACGCTCGCCTACAGCTTGAGACCTGGTAGCCTCTCATGGAGTTCTCCTGACTCTTTTGTGACAAGCAGCCGTGAGCCACTTGGCCTTGGCAGGTGCGGTTCCAGGGTCACGTGGACACAACACCTACAGATCATTTAGGCCGGGCTTTTGCAACATGGGCAACAGCAGCATGTCCGTCTAGTGTGCATGATGGTGCATGTCATGAGCTTCCACATGCCATCAACAGGCAGCCTTATAAGAATGTTGGGACTTTTGCACTGAATAGGTTGCATTCTGCGGATCCTCTTCGAGGAGGCATGCACAACCTCATTCAGCGAAGCTGCTGCCAATGACAAGAAACTCCAGAGCCGTGGCGGCAACGCATTCCTATCGCTACTATGTCAAAGTGAGAGCTCAAGCGTCAAAGTGTGTATTAGTAGCACTACGGCCGAAAGCAGAAGGCACGCATTGCTGGGGTGCAATAAGGCCGATGGCCATTGCCAAGAAGCTGGAAAAGCCGCTCTCGAGATGGGCGCCACTGTTGAAAGCCCTGTATCGGAAGAGCCTTGTGAGAGCACAAGAGGTGAGAAGATTGCGCGGTAACAGGCATCAGTCATGTCAGCTTTTTGTTGTTGCGCTTTGCCGCAGGGAGGCCTTTTTTCACTAGAGCGCATTGTGCACATCCAAGGATTTCCGAGATAGGTGACGAAATCGGTGATCCCTTCCAGGCTCGACTGCCAGACTTCTTCGTAGACTCCCTAAGACGATCCCAAAATCTCGGCGGCTTTACATTCAACGAACCGATGTGCAAAGTGCATACGGAAGCATCTGCCCGGTTGCATAGCATCCCTCTCAGTACACCCCGCAACCACTTATGGCCCCAGGCTGCAGATGTCGTTTGCTCATCTTCGCAGACTGCCGCGGGCTCTGCAGCGGCGGCAACCGATGCCAAAGAAGTGGAAGGAGCAGGGTGTGAATCATTGTGAATCTACGCCGCCTGAAATCATTTTGTTGCTACACCCTTCCTGTCTTGGGCAGGAGCGATCGCCATGGTCGGCTGCCTAGTCGGGCTGCGGGAGGCGGATCTGATCGAAGACGACGAGCTCCTGCAAGGGTGCCTCTGGCCTTTGAAGTCCTGCAGAAGCATGCTGCATGGGCATAGCAAGCCCAAGCGCAAAGCATGAAAAGCATGCAAAGCCTTACAAGAAGAACCGAAAACCCAAGGGCATCCCCAAGGGCATTTTGAAGACGAAGCGAGGCAATGCTCAATCAGAGACCCTGGGCCTCCCACAAGCCTTCCAAGTCCTGGGGAGTTTGGTGACAGTGAGGGCGGTGCAGTAGCAGTAGTCGCAGCACTCATGTTACGACTGAAAGTTGCGGGTTTCTGGACCAGGAGGTTTGCAGGCCCTCTCAAGAGCATTGCAGGCGGAGGGGGGGGAGGGGGGGAGTTGGAGTTTCAGGGGAAGGGTTTGCTGGTAGACCAGACTCTGGTCTCCTCTGCGAAAGGCCGAGGCGAAGCAACTCGCATGTGCCTCTCTTGCTGCTGAGGGTTGGCAGTCACTGATCTAGCACATCTAGCACATCTAGCTGCAAGGTGCAGAAGGATGCCCTTCGAGCAGGAGCGACCCTTCGTTCTTGAGAAGTTCATGGAGGACTTAGAAGACGATGAGGATGATGAGGATGAGGATGACTAGCCGACCTCTGCGGACTGATTTGTGCAGGCGTGTCCGCAGAATAAAAGACCGTCCGCATGCTTCATGCACATGAGTTGTTGAGGCAGTTTGTTGTGTAGAATCGTGTCCTTGCACCGTACAGATTTGAATGCTCCAGGTGCCGCATTGTTAGCCTAGGAGGAAGAAGCAGCCATTGACAAACCCGAGTTGGGCGGTAGCTTTTTTGATACTGTGTTCATTCTAAGGTTGGCTGTGCACTTCCTGGGTAACTTGGCTCACAGTGGCTGTACATATGTCACAGAGAGCTGTTGGCAGAAAGAGGGGACGACCATGACAGACGGCGCCAGATCTTACTTCCACGCCGGACCAAGTGCATGGCATCAAAGTACTAAGGTTACAACCTGATGACTTATGGCTTTGCGCTGGCTGCTCCGTCTCTCAGCCTGCAGACTTCTTGCCGAGTCGAGGCCTGCCTGACGACAACTCAGGTTCCTGCCGGATTACAAAAACAACGTGAACAAGGAGAAAAGCTCCTGAGCGATCTCACTCTGCTCCTGAAAACTGTGCTTTATCGTTAATGGTCAATGCGCCTCCAAAGTAGGCAGCAACTTGGAAAGCGAAGTGTAGAGGCGCCAGCAGGTGAGGCGCCGGGTGTTGAAGATTGCTCAAGAACCATGCCAGAGCTACATTGACGAGCTGGTGTTGCCAGTTGTGAGTTTGGCGCATATCTTCTAGCAGACCATTTGCTGCCAACCAGGGGCAGGGATTCCTCCGAGCGCCTCCAAAAGGCGTTAGAAAAAAAAAAAAAAACGCTGCAGTGTTCTTTTGCAGCGCACGCGGCATCCCGACTGCCCGGCAGTTCGTTACTAAGTTACTAAGTTCATACTCGTTGCTGATCGCTGTGGGTCGTCTCTCCACTGCAGGCCGGGGTTCTTCGTCCAGACGGCGAGGTGGTTTTGTCACCCATGAGCGAGGCCACATTTGCTCAGGCACGACTTCACTTTTCAGCTTAGCGACTTTTGTGCGTGGTGGACAAGCATGGGCTGAGGTATATAAAGATAGCTCCTAGCCAGAGCTCGCACGAACTCAGATTCCGAAGTGTGACAGGTGCTGCGGGATCGCCAAAGGTCTCTTGAGGGGAAGGCGGCATGTGCTGGGGGACGCAGCCAACGTGCGGTAAAGCGTGGACATGCGAGGCAGCAAGGCTACAAGGAGCGGCGGGGCAGGCTTGTTGGCATGGAGTAATCTGAGATTGTTATGAGTGCTGCATGACACCGCATGACGATCATGATGGCGGTTGATGGATGACTATAGCCAAGTCTGGTGCAGTCTTCAGGTTGAGGTCAGTGGATTTCCTGGCTCGCCCGACCCTTGAAGCTCCCTGTCAGAGGGACATGTCCGAACGATTGAGAGTGCACCAGCCCAGGTTGTCGGTGTTGAATGGAAGACTCACTCTGCGGCCGGGGTTCTTGGAAGCAAGTGGCACAAGCGTGCTTGCAATTGCCTGGCTTCTCCCTGATAAACCCAGGTCGGAAACTTGGAACAACCAGCCTGCCTGGCACAGGCTCGGGAATTTGCAGAGCCTGCCCTGCGGCTTATAGTGATATTTGATTGCGGCACTGTGCCCGGCAAGACGTACCCGGCGGTAAGCCAGGCAGGATGGCAAGACCAAAGAAGAGGTGAGGCGTTGCAAGCCACGTCATGGTGTGACTTCTTCGCCTCTGGCCGCCTGTCATCAGAACCAGCATGCCATATATACTCCTCTCTCACACACACAACCTCGCGCCGTTCTAGCATAGACATGCGACGTCAACCTTCATGCCTCGTTTGCAGCATGGCCATCCCCCTTCATGAGCTTCACTTCGAATGCTGAACCCACTTCAAGTTCGCTTTGGTTGAGTCAAGTTTGGTGGAGGTCTTCCTGTACCGCGATGCAGCAGATTCCAAATGGGCTGCAGCCTGAGTAGCCCTCAGAAATCTCGGTCCTTCAGGTCCTTACCAAGCCATGTAGTCTGAAGGTACACTCAGCCGCTAAGCACGACTGGAAAATCAGGAACTGATCACGCTATCGCTTGAGTGGTCATGGGTAGGTCCTTGGCCTCGAGCTGGGGGATGGCCACGCTCGCTTGGCACACGTGCTCGGGGCTTAATGCCGGCCGCAATCTCTGGATCCACTAGACGAGTCAAGAGGCCGTGATATGCCTAAAAAGGATTGCAGTTGGAGCTTCGTGAATCCAACGTCCGACCAGAAAGGTACACGTCGCTGGTCTCACCTGCCGAGGGCCTTGTTTGGGAAGTGGACTGTGTCATCCTCGGATACGGCACACCCTTGCAAGCAAACCTTTGTATCTTGTTTTATCTTGGAATGCAGACGAGGCAGCAGCCCCCACTTAGCAAGTCAGGTGGCGAGCGCTGGCTGCCTTTTTTGCCTGCGCGCTTGACTTAGACCAAGCATGCTACGTCTGCTACGAGGTAAGGCTGAGACTAATGACTTTGATGATTTTCTCCCTGTACCAAGGACTGTCCGAACCAGCACCATCAACAACACTCCAAAGGACTGACCTGCAAAACCTGCACCTGCACAGTAGGCCTTCTAAAAGTTCTGGAGCATGTCCCGCTTCATGTAATCCAGAGTAGCTCCGGAGCTCTTAGCAGGTTCGGTTGATGATACTGGGGCCGTGCTCCGTGCTGCAGTGCCAGGTTGCCGACACCCCAGTGGGACGCACCGCACCAAAGCCAAAGCGCTCACGTGCAAAGAGCACTGGCAAAGAACAGCTCCATCCAAAAAGACAGCCTAAGTAGCCCAACATGCAGCACATAGTTGACACTGTTTTTTCAACCTTATTAGCCCGCTCTCTTCTTGTAGCTGTTGTGGACAAGGCTGGGTTGGCAGCACAGGACCAATTCAGTGCTGCTCCATTCGCTGCGCCACATGTTCAGTTTTTGCCACTTCGCCATGTTTGACGTCGTGTGCTTTTCCAGTCTGCCGTTGTGAACTGAAACAGACCGAGAGCAGTCGATCATTAGCGCAAGTAGGCACCAGCTGCAGCATCCTACGTCCTGCCTCGGTTCGTATTCTACTCGACACTGGGTGCTACAATTCACCAACAGAAGTTTCAACACATTCCAACCCTTGACCCCTGAAGGGTGACACCTACAAAACTAGACCTTGCACAGCAGGGTGATGCCTCTGGACGGGGCTGACCATCTCAGCTCCTAGCTGGCCACTGCCATGGCGTGGAACCTATGCCGAAACTTCATGAGGCTGCCGAGAGTCGAGCAACTCCTGCCGGAGTCCGCTTAGAACCCTCGGGCCATGCAGATCACATAGCATCAATCTTGCTTCAGTAAACTTCCGGCCTTTCAAAAGGCTGGTGCCGTTTGGCCCCTGTACTGTGTTCCTGGAGCATTGCCAACAGCATTGCGTCATAAATCTTCGTCACTTGTGCAGTGCTCAGATGTGCTCAGATGTGCTCCCCCCTGCGAGACAGGGCAAACGGACCTTTTGCATGATAGCTGCGGTTCTCTCAAAGTCAGTATTTGCTGGTAGCATGGCTGTGTTGGTTCAGGCAAACACTGCGTCCATGTCGATCTCAACTTGCAGCGCTGCGTCCGGCTCTGACACTGACATGCGTACTCATGTGCCGTGTGAGATGCGACAGCACAAGCCGCAGTCAATAGCAGCATGGTGGCAAGGTCCCGGCTTTGCAGCTCGGTGCTTTGCGGAAGCGGCGCCGAGTCTGTCGCAGGTGTCGAGTGCCATGGAGTGTCCACGCTTGCGCTGCACGGAGACTATGGGACATGATCTATCACGTGTGTGGAATCTTTGACCAGGATGCCGAGAGGGCACTCGGCTCCATCAAGGCCTGGAGAAAAGCGCCACACCCCCACACCCGAGATGCTTCTAGCACTTCGGGAAGGGCTGGGGTTCGGCACAGCAAGCACAGAAGCAGCTACAATGGTGAGCTTGGCCGATAGTCCGGCAGCTACCCTTAGAAAGCCGCTAGCTGCTAGCTATAAGTGATGATGCACGGACAGGCAACCATGCAAGCACAGAAGAAGGCCATCTCGAACTGGTGCGGGTGTTTTTTGCAGTCCGCTGCGCGCTACAAGCTTTTGTGGCAAGCTCAAGTTGGTCGTGCTGTGTCGCGGTCTCCTTTCCGCTGTCCAATGTCAAAGTGTTGTGAGTAGGCATCGTCATATGCGGGAGACAATGACAACTGCTCTCTGCGAAAACTTTCAGAGAATGTTGCGTGCAGGTCGCGCAAATTCATTTGTCCAAAGCCCAGAAGCGTAGCTTTCCTGGGAACATCAGGAAGTGCTCTCGGGTGGATCTTGCGAGTTTTGCAGTAACAGACCTGACTAAGCAGTGGTATAAGTCTCGGGGGCTTGTCCATTCTGAGTTGAATGCATTTAGGCTTCTCCCTGCAGGTACAAGCTTATGGGCGGCAGACCGGAGTTTCACAATGCACAGACCTTGGTGGAATTTTGTGCTGCATGTGGGGACCAGAAGCCGACCAGAAGCGACGCAAATGTGCTGAGCATCGATGTTCTGGCATGCAGAACTGTCGGGGATGGACACGCGCTTTGAACAAGGTGGATCGCAATAGGTATGGCCGAATCTTCGAGCTGTGTCCTCAGATACCAAGCTGTTCAAAGTTGCCAGCGTCCATGCATTTATTGAGGGTGCTGTGCCTGATCATATTGCCTGCTCAGTTTTGCTCACAATATGGAGTCTCTGGAAGTACCTAGGCCATGGCACAACTTTGAGATCGTCATAACGTGGGAGCCCCTTTGCAGTCCATGCAGGGCTCATCAGAGCACGTCCGTTTTTTTCCGCCAATCACCTCCAGTCGATCACTGCAGGTCATCCAAAAACAACTGCTGGGTCGTTGTGAAAAACAAAAGTGCGACCCCCGGCGATACTTGTTCTTGCGTTGCTTGGCCTGCCACGCACACACACCCACACATCATGTAGGCGAAATGGGTAAGCATTGATGTATGCCAGCATTACAATTTCACGGCATCACACAGAGGCTGGCGTCATCGAACAGTGATTCGGTCTCATGCCGGCAATGTGGGCTACCGTGGTGCACCTCGGCATTGTTAGAGTCTTCCTGTGCCATCTTCGACGTTGCCGCAGAAGCCAAAGCCCGCAATAGCTGGGCTCCTGGTTATGTCATATGGCATCACAGCACGTCTCCAGGCATTGAAGAAGTCAGAAGCCGCAACCTACGCAATTGTCTGGACCTCGCTTGTGCATCCTTTTTTTCAAGCTCCTGGCACAGCACAGCTTTGCTGCATTGCTTCCACGCACGCCCCTTTGGGCAGAGGGCGGCTGGAGACTGCCAGTTTGCAAGCACATGCAGGCAGTTTCCTCGCGATCTGTGTAAGAAGGGTGAAGTCGGGCCCACCGTACGAAGGGTCGGCAAAAAATTGGCACCTGGAATTTATGGTGGGCTCCGCCCCATGCCTGATCAAGGACGGCACAATGCCTAGGTCCTAGGGTTGGCACATGGTCTTTTTCTCCGAAGGCTGGCATGCCCGTGCTGCCCAAACATTGCGACTGCTTGCCCAAGCAGTAGTCGTTGCAGATGCGGCAGTGTGGGGATGTTCATGGGCAGTACAGAAGCTGTCGCAATCAAACTTTGGCTGATATCCAGCGAGCAAGTGAAAGGTGTCGACTCGACCTTTTTTACCCTTGGCACGTCCCCTTTGAGACGGCTAAATGGGGTGTGCTGACCGCAACATATTTTTCGGTTCTAAGGGTTTGAACATCGCGAAGAAGCTGCGACGACTGGGCATAGGGCTCAGGTTGGCGTGTGTTATTTGACAACGAGATATCGGACACGTAAACCAGTTGCTTGTCAAGCTGAGGTGTAACCTGTGCCGAAGTGCACTTCAGGAGGCTCATGAAGGTGTGGAAGCAAGCAGTGTCGTATACTCCTTCCCGAGTCAAAAAAAAGACGGGAGTGAACTTTCACCATCTGCCACTCTTGGACATGAGTTTGCAGCCGCTCATGAAATCAGAGCTGTCTTGTTGGACAAATCGGCGGGCTCGGAGGCCCCTTGGCATGAAATCTTTGTCCCGTGATCAAATTTTGCTGGGGCAGGTGGAAACGTGCCTCCAAGCATTCCAGAACGTTGGTTTGCAGGCAGGTCATTCCCCCGCATCCCTGAGCGGTGAGTCCATGCCGAGTTGATCATGTTCTGTGTGGGAATCTCTGCGGCTACCCCGCTTGCAGATTACAAAGCTGACCCACATGCCTCGGACGCCAATTGGCCCCTTGACAGCACGACAGCCCGGAATGCACCCGCGTAGTCGCAGTGAGTGACTTTGCAGAAGCATTCGCAGAAAAATTTTGCAGTTGTGCCATGGGCGTAGGCGGAAGGAGCTGATTGCAGTCCAAGTCTGTGTTGGACTGAGGAAATCCGCACAAACCGCGAAAGAAGCGACGTGTTTGAGCTTCGGTTTAGCTGTGCCTGTAGTAGCACCTGCAGTGGACAGCTCGCACACCCCCATGAAAGCAGGGGGTGGTCACCGGTGCATACCTTGGGGTGCTCTGTCCTGCGGGTTTTGCATCAGTCTTTTCGCCAATCCGGTAGCCAAAGCTAGCGGAGGAAATCTGCTACCGGCGACGAAGGAAAACAAAACTCTTGGTTGACGAGTTCCGGAACACCTCACGGGTCATTCTGTTCGGTCATTGAGGCTGCTGAACCTGTGTGATTTTGATTGGTTTTGCCTGCCGCGATTTGCAGAAGCGGCTCAAACGCAAAGTGGGGCCGACTCCGCAGAGGACCTCCCCCGAGTCATCGAATGTCTGAGGGACAAGTTATCCTTTTTCTTTTCTTCTGCCTAAGAAGAGACAGAGAGAGAGAGAGAGAGGATGGCGCCTGGCGGGTTTGGCGAAGGCCTCACCTTTGATCCGCCGCCACCACCAGGGCGACGGATCAAGGCCAGGGCATGAAGCGAGACACAAAGCATCCAATTGAGTCAAAATAAAGTCAATGGACGTCATAGAGCGTGACGAGAGCTGACAAGAGAAAGGTCAAGAGACAGCGTCCCCAGGAGTGGAGCCCAATCGATCGGATGTTAGCGGAGAAGCAGCCAAAGCGACGGCCGCTGTGCTGCAAGTTGCTTCCACACACAGGCTCTGCGAAGGCTTCTAAGAGTGGCTTTTGCCTCCACCTGTGCAGATTTGACAAGCTGCACAAAAAGAGGTGGGCTCCTCGCCAGGAATTTCGCAGGACAAAAGAGCTTACTGGCTGAATTCCAAGCCGTAGCCCATTCCGCAGCCCACAGCGAGTCTTAAATTACGTTGACAACTTGGTCGCAGCATGCAGCTGAGGACCAAGACCGAGCTGCCTCCGCTCAGTCCACCCCCGGCACCAGCCACAATCACGGCTTCAGCTCAGGCGATTTCAGCTGGAGAAACTAAGCATGCTGAGCTCATCGAACTCAGTGAATTCATAATGAGCTGTAGCTGTTTCTGGTTCGCTTCAAAGCAGTAAGCAATGAACACCATTCATTTTGACTGGAGCTGCGTTTCAAGTCATCAGGTGCAGACGAACAGCTGGGAGCTTTTGTTGAAAGAAGCCTTTGCGCCGGAGCAGGCAAAGTACCAAGCCCAGGTCCAGGCTCTTCAGCTGCTTGCCCAAATTATCCCAGCTTGCCAGTGGTCTCCAGATATTTGTTTTCTTCAGAACGATTCAACGAATCTTATAAAGGGTCTCAAAAAGCTGTTGGGATTGCTCCGACTCTGCTGCTGTGGCACGTGGGCGTGTCGCGTGTATGCACATCTATCAGTTGCTTTGTTTCGTCTTTGTTTTGTGACGCACGCAGTGTCAGCTGCAGTAAAACGCCATGTAGAAAGTATAACATCGCTTCGTCTCGGCTTAGGACTGAGCTGAAGGCTCTCGAAAATCGACTCAGCCAGACCATAGCCGATCTGGAAGCAGAGCGGGAGGCCCACACCCAGACGAGATCCAGCTGGAATGAAGAGCGCGCATCTCTGGCTGAACACCAAAAGTCCCTGGACGACCAGAAGAAGTCCCTAGAGTCTCAGAGGCAGTACCGGCGCAGTGGGCATGCGTAGCAGCCAGGGATTTGCACAAGCCTTCTCCTACTGGAATGGGCCACAGCAACTGAAGTAGGGTTCTCACGGTGTTCCCATGGGCCTGCTTTCTTTGTTCAGGCTGCAGTGGACCCAAGAGCGAGAGGCGGGGCTGGTAAAATTCAGGCTGCAAGACTCTGCTGCAAGACGCATTGCGTTTGAACACTGGTCGTGTCGTGCGCGGCGTTACAAACGAAATGCTTCTGAACTAGAAATCTAACATTGCTGCTGCCGCTGTTGCTGCCGCCGCCGCTGCCGCTGCTGCTTCTTGCGCCACTGCCGGACGCCTCCGCCGCTGCTGCTGCTTAGCCCCAGAGCTGTCCCATTCGTATGCCAGCGCAAAAAATATGATTCTTTGCTCGGCCATTCCTTTTTTCAAAGCAGACCGCAGGCGTTGGAAGCTTCGCTGGCGCTGCTTAAAGCCGAGCTGCGCAGCGCGGCCACCGAGGCATGGATCATGACTCTTCGGGGACTAACGTGGCAGGTGCAAGCCGGCATGCATCGAGTTTGTCCCACAACCTGTGCTGCCCGGAAGGCAGAATCAGATCGCTACACTTGGGAGGAGCCATGTCGACAGAGTGGGCTTGACTTTTTCGGGGGCTGACTGTGGATCTTGGGGGGAGCCACACCACCAAAAATGCCGTCATCCTAGACGTTGGCCCTCGGCCGCTGAGTTGATGGTTCTAGTGCCAGCAGCGCATCTCGCTTGATGACCCGCCGACAGTCCGATTCAATTACGCATCTCCGTCAACGATGTAGCAAGACGGCCGCATAAATCCTGCCTCACAAAGTCACAAATGCCCAGGCTATATATGTCAGGCTTACTTCCTGAGTCGTCCAGAGTCGTCCAACCTGAAAGGTGAGGCAATGTGAGGGTTTGTTAAGTAAGACTTTGCTTGGTATGGAGAGGAACATAAATGAACCATAATCATCAGTTGCTTGGACAATTGTGGTCACGCCCTTTCGGGCTGCCGGCACTGCCACAACGAGCCACAGTGGGTATTCGGGAGTATCTTGGCACATGTGTTGCGGCTGGGACGATTCCAGAAGATTTGTTTGGATTTGGCGCAGTCCAGCCGGGACACGTTCTAGATCCTCTCACAGGGTCATACTGCCAGTCAACAAGTGGCGAATTGTGCGCTTCTACGCAAAACCAGGCGTGCTGCGAGGAACACTAGGACTAGGAGCCAGGACACCCGAAACCTAAGCCCGAAGTGGAGGCAAAGACGGACAAGCCAAGAGGAGGCTTTGAGTCCGGAGTTGCTCAAATCCGGGCTTTCTGCAAAGTGCTAGTACGAACTTCGAGGTCGTGGATCTTACTACGAAGATGCGGCATAGTGCGGTGTTCCACAGCACGGGAAAAGACCAAGAGTTGCGTGCTAGTGCTACGTACTGTTTTCTGAGTCAACTTGTGCCTGGAGGAGACTGAGAAGGACTTGCGGGCGCAACTCGACTCTGCACGCCCCGCGGCTCAAAGCTATAAGCTACTGCTTGCTCATGAAACCTTTTCCCTTCTCTCAAACGCTCTTGTCATCTTGTCTTGACCTTTCAAATGCCATCTTGTAGCGCGCATCGTCAGCAAAAGAAGAAGCAGATTTCCTACAACCTCAACTTCTAACTTGCCTTACACCGGCATTGAGATTTCTCCCAGCAGCTACAGTAGTGAAGGCGTGTGAAGGCAGGCTTTCCTAAACCGTCACAAGGTTGAAATCCTGACAAGCCGCTCTCCTAGGCTATTTCGCAAGGTGCAGGCCCCGGCGTAGGCATCCCAAATCATCCCAACCAATAATACAAGAGTTAAACTGAGCAGATAACCACCGCCACCACGCCCACTCTCTTGCTGTGGCCAGAGCCACGGGATGACCCACAAGACTGGGGCCAAGGGTGCGAAACCCACCGCAGCGTTGTTGCTGTGGACGTTGTGCTCGACGATTGTAACTGTGCCACAAGAGTACCCCCAAAACAACATCACAAGAGCAAATAAAAACAACATTCAGGAGTCCTGGAGCTGTCCTTAACTTGGCATGTCGCGCCCCTACGCTCATTTAAGGCCAGGCGCGACAACAAAGTCGCGAGGAGGTCGAGGCGACGACTCTTGCAGAAGGGTGTCAATTCAGTACGAACTTGGGTTAGGCCTAGATGTGCTGAACTGTCGCGTACTGGACATACAATGCTTCGCCGCTCACTTCGGACTTGAGAGCAAGCTTAGTAGAAAGTGCATGCTGTGTTGGCCTAGTCACTTCTGGCTGGTGCACAGGATATCTCGCATCGCCTGGAGCGCAGCCAGGCAACCCTGAAATGAGTGGATGTGGTTTGCTTGCTACAACTAGGCTGTCGCAACCCAGTTTCTCAGGAAAATGGCAAACTGCCGCCAGCTTCTGAAATCAAGCCGCATGAAGCGGCAAACTGAAAGTTAGGGCGAAAAGATGCGAAGAGCAGTGGACACACTTGCTAGAAGTGGCAGTTAAATGCAGTTACGATCGCATGTAGCTTTCGCTTTTTGGCGTCACCATGGAAGAGGTCTCCGCACCACTTTTGGCTGCCACCACACTCCATGACAGCCCTGCCTGGTTGGACGAAATCGACCGGTTCTTCTCCGTGTCGAAGCGTGGAAGCACGCTTGCAACAGAATTTCGGGCTGGGACAACTGCCTTTCTGGCAACAGCAAACAATTTCGTTGTGAATGCGCACATCATGCAACACGCAGGGCTGGACTCCGAGATGCAGCTTGTTAGCGGCGCATTTGCTGCTGGCGTGACCTGCATCATCTCGGGGCTGCTCAGCAATCTTCCACTAGGAATGGTTCCATCGGTGGGACCGAACGTGTACATAGCATATAGCTTAGTAGGACCTCATCTTTTTGAGGTGCATGAAGCCCTTGGGATATCAGCTGCCTCTGGCTTGGTCCTTGTTGTGCTTTCGCTTACGCCCATGCTTCGGATGATTCTGGGCCTCATGCCCTTGAGCATCAAGTATGGTCTGCTTGTGGGCACTGGCCTGCTGACAGCATTTATTGGTTTGAAGTCTATTGGCGTCATCGTGGCAGACAAGGGCGAAGATATAGTCGCCCTTGGAGACCTGCACAGCTTGCCCTGTCAAGTTTCAATAGTCTCTTTGATCTTCACCGCGTCCATGCTTTATAATGCTGTTACTGGGTCTGTTCTCATTGGCATGCTGAGTGCCACTCTGGCTTCCTGGTGGCTGCTCGACGACTGGCCAAGCAAGTTCTTCTCCTTACAGGGCGTCCACTTCGTCGAGCTGCAGTTTGGGATGTTGGCAAGCGAGCGGGCATGGGCCGAAGTTGCCTCATTGTTACTTATGCTACTCTTCTCGTTGAGTGGCGCCATCATCGGAAGTGCAAAGATGGCCGGCCTTCTTGCCGAGGACGGAAGCGTCCGAGGCAGCACTGCGGTATTTGTTTCAAGTGGTCTTGGTACGATTCTATCGGCATTTCTTGGGACTGCCCCAATCTTCGTGAGCATGTCTGCTGCAGCTGGCATTAGAGACGGTGGGCGCACAGGCTTGGTTTCGGTGGTTATTGGCATCTACTCGCTTCTCACTGCCTTCGTTCTGTCCCCTCTTGCTTCCGCGGTGCCAGAGTGCGCTGTCTCTCCGGTGCTGGTGCTCGTGGGCGTGTCCATGACCGGCGAGGCCAGGGAAATTCAGTGGTGGAATATGCTGGATGCACTGCCAGCATTTCTATGTGCCATCTTCCAGCCCTTCACCTATAGCGTTTCCAACGGCATCTATGCTGGCTGTGGAATGTCCATTGTACTGTTCTTTTCCACTGGCAACTTCCTGTCCTACTGCCCTTCACTGCAAACGTCTTCCGGAGACTCCAAAGACAAGATTTTGGGAGAGACTACATCACCTGCCCTGCACATGCAAAGGTCGATGGTTGGACTGGAGGATGAAGAGGCAGGCGAAAGCGGCGAAGGCCAACTTCCCATCGAAAGCCCGTTGGTGAAAGCCATGCATCGCTACTGTGAAGGTGGACCCTTTGGCTTGGAAGATGCAAACGAAGCAGATTTCCGAACAAGGCTAATTCACCTTGGAATCACCTCAAAATACGAGGCATTGCATTTCATTGAGGAAGCTTCAAAGTTCGTTGGCCTTGACCCGGCGAAAATGATGGAGGTGGTGTCCGAACGTCTTGAGGCTGGGAGAAATGTGGAGTCCCATTACATGGGCGGCATCCCCGGTGTGGAAACGGCCCGCACCAACCAGGAACTGCTGCGCCAGCAGACTCTGGTGCGTAGGCAGTCAGAACACTGGGATCCGGTGATGGTTGCCGCCAAGCAACGCCGCCAGTTTTTCCGACAGCGCTCTCACGAGGTCTCTCACCAGGGCTCTCACCGCTTGTGAAGGCCGAGCATGGAAGGCAAACACCAGAAAATTGTGCGGGGATGGACTCCGAATGTTCAGGAAGGGAATCACATAGCCTCGAAGACTTAAATTGACAGCCAATCTTGGGCTTGCTGTAGAGCAGGGTAGTTTAACTTGGGGAGTGCGGGATGAAAGTTTCCAGCATCCAGAAGGACGAAAGACAAAAGCGCGCAAAAGCATCACTGCTGGAGACAGGACGACGTCAAAGCCTTGCAAAAGCAGATGGCTTCGCTTCGGGAGGAGCATGCAGCTGTGGCCAAGGACAACTACCAAATGCTGCTCCGTATTGCGTTGACAAACTCAATTGTTTGAGGGGTGGCAGCTCCTAACCGCTGTGGTTGACAATTCTTTACTCTGCCTCTAGTTAGACCAGAATGATGTTTCACAGGCCCAAAAACAAGCATGTGGACAGGGCATGGCTTACACGGATTCCGACCTCACCTTCACAGCAGAACCCAACCGCAAGGAGCGTGATGACTTGCTCCAGCGCCTAGAGGATGAGCAAGCTGAGATGCGGCTTGACCTCTTAGTCAAAGTATGGCAAGCAACATGATGACATGTTGGGATGCTTGAGCAGCCTCAGGATTGCACGAGTGGCCGCGGTGGAGGAACGGCTCTGCCAGAGAGGATCCAAGGCAGAATCTTTGTGTGTGTGCGTCTAGGCGGGATGATTTGACATATTCACCATCGGCGAGCACATCTCAGGGTGTCCACCTTGCACCCTTGAAAATTCCCAAGATTTGCCATTTGAAGGGCACGGCGAGATGACGCCAGCTTTGCTGGGAAGTCAAGGACCGAAACCTGTCAGCTTTCGCCAGGTTTGAAGGAGCTTGCGGTTCCAACTTTGTGTCTCCAATTGAGCACTGCAGCTGCCGTTAACTGCATAACTAGCAGTAACTAGCATGCTCAGATGCAGGACCGATGCAGGATGAGGGACCTCCAATGCTGACAACGTGGCAATCTGCGCAGCGGATCCTCCTGCAAGTGAAGCTTCCAGAGCAGTGGAGGTGTCACTCGCTTGCATGGCTGGAGGAACACCAGGCAGACGCTTTCAATAATCACTGCTTATAGAAGCTCAGCCCACACGGGCGGGACTTGAAAGTACAATGGTCAAATTGCTTGGTGTCTTGCCCTCGAACAGATGTCGCAGCTCATTTGTTTCGAGCCCTTTGACGTTTCACAGCCTTTGCAAAGTCAGGCCTAGGCAGTGCATGAAGACAGTGCTGCTGAAAGGCTTGAAAGGATAATTGGAAGTGAGCTTACTGAATCGGTGTGCGGGTTGAGCTTGAGTGCAGTGGATGTGCCAGCCGTGGTGCAAGTGCATGCGAGCCGCTACAGTAACAGCTCAATCAACTCATGACCAGGGAAAACATGTTGGAAGAAGCTTGGGTAGAGAGATGGCAGAGTCAGCACTCGAACTCATGCATGTTGATCATTGGTTGTGCCCTGTCAACTTTCATTCATCCAAGTCGTAGCAGGGATGCACTACGGTGTAGCAGCATGGTTCCGACAGCTGGGCAAGGTTTCGGCCTGCTCACTCAAGCCAGGATCAGCTTGCCTTCGGCAGGCAAACTTCGGGAGCAGCGCTTCGGAGTTTGCTGCGCTTGAGCATCGCAACTGGCAGAAGGCGGTACATGCTTACGACAAGGGGTGGGGATCCTTGACTCGGCAGTGCATCCCGGATCTCTTGGCAGGCATAGGATGTCGCAAGACTTGCCACTTGCTGGATGTGGCAACCGGGCCCGGTTTCGTTGCAGAGGAAGCTGCGAAGGCTGGTGCAAAAGTTGTTGCGGTGGACTTTGCGAAGAAGATGCTCGAACTTGCGCAGAATCGGCTGTCGCAATCACTGGGCTCAGAGATCGTCCAATGTGTGGAAGCAGATGCTGCCCGCATGCCATTCGATGCGGAGAGCTTCGACGCCGTGGCATGCAGCTTTGGGGTTTTGCATCTTCCTGAGCCTGAGGCCTTTTTTGCTGAGGCGTTGCGAGTTTTGCGCCCCGGTGGCCGCCTCGGCTTTACTGTTTGGGCACCCACTCCATCAACAGAGGCGCTTGCCCTTGTGCACGCGGCTGTGCAGGAACACGGGAACCCAAATGTTCCATTGCCAGAAGCGCCTCCCTTCTTCCGTTTTGCAGATGCAACAGATACCGCTCAGACACTCACTGCCATAGGATTCGGGCAGGTTGTGTCCAGAGAGGTGTCCATGTGTTGGGAGGTGGAGGATCCAAGGGACACGTTTGTGGCATTTCGAGACGGTACAGGCCGCACGGCTGCGCTGCTAGCAGGCCAGACCCCAGAGCAGCTTCAGGCTATCGAGGCCGCAGTGACAAAAGGGACCGAGGAGAAGAGGAGTGGCCCTAATCAACCGTGCCGCCTCCAGATGCCGTGCGTTTTGACCCTCGCCACAAAGAGCTGATCAATGAGGGTTGGAAAATCGCCGTGCCAGGAGACCACTTTGCAGATGCCAAGCTTCAACAAGCTGAGTGCGCAGGAACGAGAGAGAGAGAGAGAGAGAGACTGTGAGGGGAAAAGATTCACGGCCCGAATTGTGCGTAAAGCACACACTCAAACGCGCAGACGGTTTCACTGCTGCCGAGGACCAACAAATGCCGTATAGCTGGGGGTGCTAGGGGGGCTAAGTTTTGTTATAATGGGGCCAAGTACCAAGAATCAGGCAGCATACGGCAGAAATAGCAAAGGGGTACCGAGTGGTCGGAATTAGGGAAGTATGTATGTGGGGGCTCCAGTATTGTTATTGCAGGGGGGGGGGGGGGGAGGCTCTCGACCCACAGTGCACCGCAAACAGGGGCGGGCGAATGCGGCTGGGGCCTGACCCCTGGTCCCACGTAAGAAAGAAAGAAAGAAAAGTGAGAGAGAGGGGTTGGTGTAGGCCCGACCTCACCAAGCTAACCCTCAAGGAGATCATTGCAGTCGCTGGCTATGTTTGATAGAGGACGGCTCACAATTGTTGAAGATAAGTTCGAGAGCGTTCCACACCTACACACCTACTTCTGAGGGCGGCGCCAGATGCTCCCACAGGAGGAGCTCGCAAAAAGCCAGTCCTACTGCTGAGGGAAGCAGGGGCGCAAGGAGAAACCACGTGTGGGAGAAAAACCTTGGCATCAAGCGTGCATCAAGGCCAGAGGCCCCCCTGCAGCTGGCTATGTTTCAACAGTGAGGGAGGCAAGCAACGACACCATAACGCCCCACTTGGCCATGCGTGCCGAGTGACTTCACGGTGGCGGTTTCGCACATGGACTACTCTCGGTTTGGGTATGGTGGGTGGTGAGACTCGAAAGCCCACATAACCCAGGGAGATGAGGGGAAGTGTCACGAGCGGACTCTGTCTGGAGCTCCTCCCACAGGAGGGGAGAGAAGAAGAAGCGAGAGCGACAGCGAGAGTGTAAGCCGCCACGACAGCGTGGGGACCTGAGAGAGCAAGCCCCGAGAAGAAAACAGAGAAAGAGAGAAAGAGAGAGCGAGCGAGTGCGAGTGCGACTGAGCGAGAGTGTGGGTGGGTTTGTCCGTTTGTCTGCGTGACCTGTGTATTGCGGCCATGGGCTCCCAGCAACACAAATGAAATTGCACAGATATTCACTCCAATGATTACCGCATACATTACATACTTGGGATTTCTTTCGCTACCAACTATTACCATAGAGGCTTCACGAATTGCATCGTCCGGCATGTGGTCCGGAAAGCAAGTTCGATTGTGAAAAGATGTGGCGTTGGATTGACTTCTGTTTACAACCGCTAAGCTTCAGAAGACTCCAGTCCTTGGACGAACAAGTTTGCGAGAATGATGCTGTGGGCACTTCGAGCCAGTAGCTCCCGTTGCCAATCCTGCAGAGCAGCTGCAAGACTTCATGGACCAGGGAAAGGCCGATACTCGTCATTCGTGATGTACAATACTGTGTCGCGCGCTCGTAGGTTCTGTTTTCAGGATTCGCACAGCTTCCTACTCAAGTCCTACATGCTCCGCAGTCGCGTCTGGAAGTCTAGGATCCCATTGGCAGCGCATCAAATTGCACCAGGTCAGAGACAGGTCGTGCACCTATGGAGTAGGCGCTGCCTTGCCCAACCCAGCACGTCGAACCCTCCGCGCAAGAAGGAGGACAGTCTTCAAATGTCCTGATCAGGTTGCCGACGTGTTGATGTCAAGCATCAGACAGCACATCTGGCCATCTCAGCATAAAGGGTGTGCTTGTGTTCCGTGGTTGCCGTATGCTTCAGCATTCTTACAGGTTCAAGTATGGTCCATGTTGTGTTGTCTGATCTTGGCAAAGGGCCAAAGGGCCACCTGCAGCCTCATCTGAAGGACTGGCAGACAGTGCCCAATGCGCTTACAGCCCTGCGTCTGGTCGCTGTGCCAGGGATCCTCGGCACCTGGTATCTTGGTACACCGAGCAGGTATCAAGCATCAAGAGATATCAGCAGCGTTACTTTTAGACTTAAGGCTTTCTCTGCCGGACGTTGAGCAGGTGTGTGTGTGTGCATGCTTCGTACCTTTGGCACTTGGCACTCACAGGTATTTGGAGCTCCACGGTGTGACCGCTGTGCTCTTCGGTGCCGCTGCCATAACGGCTCCTGTGCTGAACAGAAGATGACTGGGAGAATCAGCACACGTGATTTGAGGCAATCTATGCCAAAATCTTGAAGCAATGAGGACTGGTTTGATGGCTTCCTTGCCCGACGGTGGAAGCAGCAAACTTCCTTGGGAGCTCTTCTCGATCCTCTGGCGGACATGTGCTCTGTTTCCCCGTGTTTGGGTGTGCTTGAATCGATAGTGCGCGTACGCTGAGCAAGATTCGACCATGCCCTGCTCCTGCTTTGGGAGGACAAGCTTCTGGTCTCCTCCACCTTGGTTTTGCTAGTGGAGCATGCTGCGAGTCCCATCGTGACTTGCCTGATGTGCAGTCAACGTTTACTTTTGCGACCACGAAGTAGCCGCCAGTTCAACCATCGCCTGGCCAGCACCAGCGCATCTGCATTCTTCATGGGATTTGCAAATTGATTCAGCTGAGGTATCAGTGCCCGCAGCAGCAATCTTGGCACGAGAGCTCGGGGTTTCAACACTCCGAGAGTGGACTCAAACCCATCGCCCAGAGGCAAGGGCCTGGCATTGAGGTCTGATTGTGATGTCAGTAGTGTCTTTGTCATTTTGCTTGGCCAGTTCGGCCTGCCAGCAGGCTACATGGGGTCCGTCCAAGAAACCATGCCTGGAAATTTGTATCGAAGCCATTTTAAGTTGTCCGGGCGTCGCAAGAATAGTTCGTGCTGCGTGCCTTTCAAATTAATTGGGCTGCTGAGGGAGTGGCTCCTCTGATGGGTTATCAGGAAGCCGGCCTTTGTTGAGGAGTTTGCCAAGAAGATGTTACTGCGGCATGCGCAGCGTCAGTTGGAGACGGCTGCTACAGAGTAGGACCTCTTAGCTGCACAAGCCTGTAACGGATATGTCTGCGAATATCACTTGCAGACATCTAGAACACTGGTATATAATGCAGAGAAGTACGTCGTGAGAGACAGAGAGGGAGAGAGAGAGAGAGAGGGAGAAAAAAAGAAATCGGGATACCCCCCACTTTCGGCAGTTTTCTTTCGCTCCGAACACCGGGGCGCACCCAGCCCCACAAAGAAATAAAGAAAATTCAAAGAGAATCGTGGACGGGGGACTTTGGGGTTCCTCTCCTTTGTGTAAACGAAGAAGACCAACGATATCCTCTAAATGGGTAGTTAAGGGTACATGTGTAGGCTTGCGGCTTGATGGGTACAACATGGTTGCGAAGCGTTGGAAGACCCCGGCTGACCAGAAACCGGGGCGTGCAACCGGCGCCGGGGTTCGACCCTGAAGCCCCTCGAAAGAAAGAAGAAAAGAAAGAGAGACAAAGAGAGCCGCCCCTGAACATCAGGCTCAGACACGACCGGACCAACCAGTTGGGGGGGGCCCTCAAGTGCGCAGAAGAAGAAGAAGAAGAAGAAGAAGAAGAAGAAGAAGAAGAGAGAAGCCGAAAATGGTGCAGCATGCCTGTGTTATTGACGGATCGTGCCCTGGGAGGCCGCTGCCAACCTTTCAGTTGCCTGGCACGGTGCCTGATCAAAAAAGTTACTGTTCGCAAGTCCTGTTGGTTCTTGCTTTGCCCGTCTCCCAGAGCCACTTCTGTAGCACAAGGCCAGACATCTCATCATGAGCAGGTAAGGCGAAAGCAGCTGCGCAGCTGCTGGCGCTCCAGAGCATACTGGCTGGCATCGCGTTAAGAAGCATGCCTTTGACTGGCAGCATTTGCTCGTTTACCATTCCTTGCCGGTTTCTTTCAAATTCCACATATGTGTAGAACAAAAGACTGGTGTTAGAGGGTTTGTGGGAGTAGGTTTATCACAGTGCAGGGCTGCGGCACGCAGAATAGGGTGGAGGTAAAGGCTTGGCTAGGCTTAGGCGAGAGTTAGGGGTCAGGGTGTTAGGGCAAGTGCGTGCTGGACGTGTCAGCTTTCTTACAAGCGGCCATGTGGAGGCGAATCGGCGACTGAAGTCGACGACGGGGCCCAGGTGGCTTCGCGCAACCTTTGCAAGCACATGCACACCTGTAGTTCACGAAATGCGAAGCAGGCTTGGGGCCCTTCGCTCTACAAAGGCCGAGGGCAAACTGCACATCAAGTAATGATTGTTTGCACCTGATGGACACCGTCACCTCTTACACACCAGTATGCCAGAAGGCAGCGGTTGTTGGTCTCAGGAAAAAGCCTTTCCTCAGTGCATGACAGGAGGCCTGGTTCTGCTGTGGCTCGCTGCGGGGCTTACCTTGGCCAGTGGCTTCCAGCACCCTGGCCGGTGGGGGTTGAGGTCACATCTGAGATGATCCGACCAGTTGCAACTTCAGAGAAGAATCAAGCACAGCACTTGAGTGGTCAACGAAGGGACCAGGGAACAGTAGGTCTGCAAAATTGGACGGGATCCCATCAAACATTCAGCTGACGAGCAGTACCTGCTAGTCAGAGACATGAAAATGCATGCGGTCCATGGCAGAACGAGTTAGAACTCCCAAAGCCCATCTTTGCACACAAGGTACGCGGCCGCTTTGTGGGGGCCTTTGATGTGCACAACCGCCAATGTCTCCGTCTACGGCACGTGCATTCAGACCTCAAACGCCTTTGTCTTCAGAGTTGTAGTACGTGTCAAACAACTCCCCATGCGTCGGAGACTCAAGAATTCGCCTTGGCATCGACTTACGAGGGTGACTGGCTATCATGCTGTGTTTCTTCCTTCTCCTCGCACGTGTGCAAGCAAAGGCGCCTATGAGCTACCCGGACCTGCCTGGCTTCGCCTCTCAGATTGGAAAAAGGTGCACATCAACAAATTGCAGTTGCAAGAAGAAGGCCATCACTGCGTTGAAGTAGCATGCTCTCGAATGAGTTGCATATGTACTTACGTAGGGATTTCCAGCTGCTGGAATACGCGAGCCACTGCGCCAATCAATGCACAGGGTAATCAGTCGAACACAGAATGTGTCGTGCTTGAAAGCACTGCATGTCGCAGAGCTTGGAGTCAATCCGTGCTCGGCAGACTGGGACAGGACACGTGCAGTGTAAAAACATGATTCGAACATGTTGGAACTAAGCCACTAAGCTGTCCTCAGCTGGGCCTGCTGTGGCAGATGGCTTGACACGCTGAGGCCTATGGAGGCCCATTGAAATGGTAGCAGCAGAAGGTACAAGGGCATTGGATAGGTTACGGTGTCAGAGGATGCAGGGAAGGACATGAAAGACAGAAGGGAAGATCTTGTTTGACCCGCGAGGTTCGAGTGGAGGCAGCTGCTGGCCTCCCGCCAGACGCAGTGCCGCGCCAACTTTTGTTTTGGTGGACATGCGGTGCTTGGTAATTCAGCAGACTTGGGCTTCAAAAACGGATCCCGGATGGATCCACCAATCACACCAGCCAGGGATGATTGAATCCTGAACCCAAAAACCCGTTGCCCGTCCCAGACTCTCTGAATCAGTCCTTGACGTATGGAGCTTTGAGCCCACACGCCAAACCAATTTGCGGCTGTGCAAACAAAGCAGCTGATGAAAACAAGCGACCTGCACGAGTTCTCAAGCTCTGGATGTGTGGCCAAGTGAACGTCACCAAATCAAGACTTCTCCCAAGTCCCGGAATTTCAAGAACGGTTGGGCCCAGAGGGAGAGCACTGCATGTAGGCCAGACACAAAAACGGGGGAGAAGAACTAAGGTGCTGTCGCTGCGTTTGGGTGCCACACGAAGACAAGCTCCTTTGGAGTGGCTTTGCCTGCCTTACCAGAACATGCAGTGTGGGGGCCGGGCTGGGCAATAAGGACCATGTTCAAGCTCATTGAAAAAAAGAGCTTCTTGTGGAGCAGTCACATGCCAGAATGGTTAGTATACACGTGCGGTGCTACGCACGCTGTTGAGTCTCGGTTGAACCCGACGCCTCTGAGTTTCGATTTCTCCGCCCCCACCCCCACCCTGCCCGGCACTCACTCATTAAGTGACGGCCGCCTTGGAGACCGACTATCAAGAAGGCCACTCAAGCCTCGTTCAAAAAAGGCAGACAAGGTGCACATCCTTCTCATTCCTCGGTACGTAGAGGCACGCATCATGTTTTCAAACAGCTGCTTTAGGAGCGCACTACTGCACCCGCTGCGCTTCTCAACATTACTGGATTCCACATGCCGCTCGGCCACGCATGCGTTGCAAGTGGCATTCAGTGGCATAAAGTGGCATTGCATATTATATGCAATGCCACTTTTTTAAAGCCTTAGGTGAGCCCCTTCGTCTCGACGTGCTGCAACCTATGTCCACAGCGCGGGTTGTTTTGAGGGCAGAGGACATGTGGCTATGAACGTGGGTTCGGATCTGATATGCTCGGATCTGGAAGCAGCATGCGACACAAGCATGCCGCTCAGTCGGCAGGAGCAACGCTACACCGTCCCCCTTGAAGGGTGTGCCGAGGCATGGCCGCAGAAGCTCGTGGTGTGTAGAACATTGTAGAACCACCTCAACCGCACTGAGGCAATCCCAGGCAAGCCTGGAGCGATACGTGTCCGTTCAAAAGGTGAGTGGAGTTGCAGCTCAGGACGGGACCATCCAGATCAGCGTGAGGCCTTCCTCTGCCAAAGCTGCAGAGAGAGGCACTCCAGCTCAGGGTTAGGTGGGCGCAAGCGGCGAATTGTCAGAGACAATCAATGATTTTCAGAAGCATGATCCACCAAGGAAAGAAAACTGACTCAATCAAGATGTTTGTTTTGCCAGCCTTTCGCGCAAAGTGGCAGCTGTTTTGCCCTAGGATTGTTACGTGTTTGTTGCTTCCCTCCTCCGCTTTGTGCTTGTCGGGTTCCCTGCGATATTGGGTTGTCCATTCTCGTCTTGGCTGTTCCTGTTAAGCTTGTGCAAGCGTTTCCTCATTGCCGTACTGCAGACAGAGATTGCAACAGCCGCAACCTTCACTAGGTAGTGGACCCAGCGCCTTCAGCACTCCATCGCTGCCAGGCTTCAAGGAGCCCGTGCCAAAAGCATTCGGCATATTCGGCATGTGTGTGTGGCGACCCTGCTAGGTCATGGGCCGCTATATTCCGAGAATGCACATGCAGGGGACACGGACTGCAACCTACCGTGAGCAACGAAGCTACAGTTGCAAAGGAAATATTCGATTTGGCCGATCGGACCTACCTGAAGAACAAGCGCCAGTCAGTCGTGCAATGTCGTGCATGGTACTGTCTGCGCATGCTTACCAGACTCGGCGCAACAGAAACCGCAACAACTCACCACCCCAGCCCACCTCGTCGTCAGCATCTTTGATGTCTCGGTTCCGAGGTGCAGGGGGTCACACGCACGTTAGCAGCACTGCCACGTTTGCATGTCTTGATAAATGCGTGCCGGTACATTCTTGAAAAAATTGAAGGAGCGAGAGCACAGTTTGACCTAGGACGCAAACCAAAGCGAGGCAGCGACACGGGATACTGGAGGTAGCCACTCCAGGGTACCTGCAGCCGGAACATGTCGTCGTGAATCATGTATCGTCTTCGCTGGGCCAGGTTGTACCATCGCTGTTGCGACCTTTCGCAGAGAAGTCTGCTGACCGTGTAAGAGAACGAGGCTGATTTGAAAATCCAAGTAGCG